ATCTTTTCTAAGATATTCTTGTTATATTTCAAAGACACTTGGTTTTCAAGAGGTAACATTATTTTATTAATATGCATGTGTCATATAAGATGCTCATGTTTTTATAAGAGACTAACACATGGTTAAGCAAGGTGAGGCAGTTGTGGTAGAAACGATCTACCACAGGAGTCACACTTGTGTCTAGCAAGTGTTGCACAACAAACCCATGCTAAACCCATGCGATTAACAACAACAACAACAATAATAATAGCAAAGTAATATTTTTGGGAACTAATTTTTTAGAGCTCAAAAGAGGGGAAAATTGCATAGAATGAAACTGGATGCATTGGTTCAATTCCTAGGAAACTGAGAAGATAAAATATAAATCTTGAATATAATTTAAATGACTCTGGATAAAAATGTCTGCCAAATATAAAACTATTCTATTGCTGTCAGGATACCATGAAAGTCTCAGCAATTCTCTCAGAATGCTATCCTACCTAATCCTATCTTCCATCACCCTTCCATCATTCCCACAGGGAACTTTCTAAACTGAGGATCTTTGGTCTGTGACAGCAGATCTGTCAATGGCTTCACAGACCATAAACTTCATCACCTGGAATGTTAACAGACCTAAAATAAAAAGAGATAAGAAATTTCAAAAACTACAAAATGCTGATGTTGTTTTCTTACAAGAGACACACATTGGAGTAGGAGATGAACATATTATAGAAGGCCTAAAAAACAAGTGGTATGTTTCCTACACAAACTATACATCCCGAAAGGGAACAGCCGTACTAGTGAGGAAAACACTGCATTTTGAATATATAAGTGTTGAAATACTGTGGAACGTATGTTTTGCTAAAATGTAAATGAAGGACAATGGTACACTCTGGTTAGTGTTTATAACCATGACACAGACACAAAAACCCTTGAAAAACGTTCAAATAGTTACCTGCAATCAATGACCACAGGGCTGCTGGTGGTTGGTGGAGATTTCAACACAGTTCTCAATCCATTTATTGACAAAGACAATTCAAAAGGGGTGACAGATACCACAATCCACAGAAAGCCGCGCTGTTGCGTTAAAAAGTTCATGAAATCTCTTCAGCTGGTTGATGTCTGGAGAAGAAAGAACCTTGAAAATCAGAATTACACGTTCAACAGTCAAGTTGTGTCCAGGCTGGATTATTTATTTGTTCCAGAAGAATGTATGCGTGTCAGAAGTTGTGAAATCAGAGACTCAGGGATGCGTGACCATCGTCCTGTGTATTTGGAGATCAACAATGCTTCAGAAAGATCTCCACATACAATCACTCTGCCAACTATTAAATCATAAAAAGCATCTTTTTACAGATGAAATGGGCTTATCACTGGGGGAAGAAAACTCACATGCAGTCAGTGAGGTTGACATTGTGTCAGCTATACAGTCTCTTCAAGTGTCAGACACACCGAGACCAGATGGCATCCCAGTTTCCTTCTATAAAGACATAATTGAAGATCTAATTCCATACATAAAGATGCTCAATGACAGAATCCACAGAGGTGCATTTAACTGCTCGGAGAAACACTTTAATGAAACTCTAAAAAGTTCACATGATGACAGTCAACACTTTTTTTTAACGTTGATTACTTCATCATTGCTGCTATTTTGGCAAGACGTCTAGATGATTTCTTGGAGTCTCAGTCAAAGGGTCGTGCACCAAAAAATTCAGCTGCTGTCATGATCAGTCCCAAAACATTCTGCACTGAGATGAGGCTGTCTTGTATCAAGGATGAGATAGAAAAGCAAAAACAGTCGAAGCCAAATCTGTATCAGGATTTCTTCATTATGAAAAACCAGAGTGTATGAAGAGCATGATTTTGTAATACATAAGGAAAAATAAATTTCAGTGGAGGGTTATGGAAAGTGAGGATCATGAAGATGAATGAGATCACATTTGCAGATTTGTTCTTCTCTTTGTGCTCTAATTGTTTCATAATGGAACAAGGTTGGCCACAGATTTAAAAACCTGATGTTGCCTTAAAGTGCATCATGCACATCATCAAGTGCTTTTGTGCCACTCTGCACTGCAGTCTTTCATGCTTTTTTCACAATCAAAGATAATTTCTGTTTAACCTATATATTTGTTGCTGTGTCCTATTAAGAATCTGCACCATAAATTCCAAAGAAATGCGTTTTATAGTGTATATACTTGGCCAGTGAAAACCATCACAAATGGTTCCGTAACACAAATTTTTCATAACATAATTTGTTTTTGTAGTTTTTAAATTAAGATTTTACTAGATGTAGTTTTTTTTGTAAAATAAGTGGATTTTTGCATTGATTATTCAAAAAATGTGGTCTGATCTTATTTCACAAATATAACTTGCAAGCAGCAATTAAGGAGCTAAGCACTACAGAAGCAAAATGAGCCAGTAAAGCAGAAATTAATTAGTAAATTATTAAACTGTATTAGTGTGAACAAAACAGCAGACATGCTTAAAGGATTAGTTCACTTCCAGAACAAAAATTTTACTCACCCCCTTGTCATCCAAGATGTTCATGTCTTTCTTTCTTCAGTCATAAAGAAATTATGTTTTTTGAGGAAAGCATTCCAGGATTTTTCTCCATATAGTAGACTTCTATGGTGCCCGCAAGTTTGAACTTCCAAAATACAGTTTAATGCAGCTTCAAAGGGCTCAGTCTCAGCCGAAGGGTCTTATCGAGCGAAACGATTGGTCATTTTCATTAATTTAATTAATATTTATACACTTTTTAACCTCTAATGCTTGTCTTGTTTAGCTCTGCGACATGCATACTATGTGCACTCCCGTTCAAGACAGTTAGGGTATGTCAAAAAGCATCTCATTTTCTCCAGATTGAAGTTTTTCCAGGATGTAACGACAAAATGGATTTTTTTTTTGTAAAAGGCGTTTGACCTTCTTTGCGCGTAAACACTGGGTCAGTTCTTCTGCAGCGATGTAGGACGATTTTGAAGTTGGAGAAAAAAATGAGATGGGAGTTTTTCGACATACCTTAACTCTCTTGAACGGGAGTGCACACAGTACGCATGTACAATGCAGAGCTAGACAAGAGGAGCATTTGTGGTTAAAACGTGTACAAATATTAATTTATGAAAATGACCGATCGTTTCGCTAGATAAGACCCTTCTTCCTCGGCTGGGATAGTTTAGAGCCCATTGATGCTGCAATTAAACTGCATTTTGGAAGTGCAAACTCGCGAGGACCATTGAAGTCCACTATATGGAGAAAATAAAGCTTTTCTCTGGTTACCCCTGTAATGCCATTAAAACTTTTCTGAAGACAGTCAGTTCCCCTGAGATAAATTAATAAAAAACAACACAAAAAACAACTCTTTGTATTTGCATGAATCATATGAATGGCCAGTGTCAGAACAATGACAGAATTTTACCGAAAGTTGATGAGTTTGCAGGTATAAACACCATTAAGTAATTGTCAAAATTTATAAACAGATCATAAGCAATTGCTTGGCAAAAATTTGGACTTTTCATTGACTGCAAAGTACTTTGAATTCATGAGTCTGACATAAAACAGTGCTGTATTTTTACTTTAAAACATGTAGTGCTCAACATAATCTTTGAAGGTTATGATAATCACATTAGCCTATATTTCACATTAATGTGAAAGCCCCCTTAAGACCACATTGTCAGACTTTTGTCTGTATTTCAGGTCTTAAAGTCTGTATATGAGGTGCTGACATAAATTGGGTGTTTGATTAAGATGACATGCAAAATGTGCAACGTTGGGATACATACAAACACACACACACTGGGAACCACTGGTCTAGACAATGGAAAAATAATAACAGTAAATTAGATCATGTAAAAAGTTTACCATTTAGATCACCTTTAATTTAGCCTACCTTCTGACAAAATAAAAATTCATTTTCCCCCGCCTTTATAGGATTGGGTTGGTCAACTTTCCAATTTACTATAATTTGACTTGTCTTTTGAAAATCATATTTCCCATGTTACAAAAACAGCATTCTTCCATCTTAGAAACATTGCCAAGTTACGAAACATGATACCTGTTTCTGATGCAGAAAAGCTAGTTCATGCATTCATGACCTCTAGACTGGACTATTGTAATGCACTGCTAGGTGGTTGTCCTGCATCTACAATAAACAAGCTACAGATAGTCCAAAATGCAGCGGCTAGAGTCCTTACCAGGTCAAGAAAATATGATCATATTACGCCAATTTTACAGTCTCTGCACTGGCTACCTATTAAGTTCCGTATCAGTTACAAAATATTATTACTTGCCTATAAGGCCCTTAATGGGTTAGCTCCTGCGTACCTAACTAGTCTTCTACCACGCTACAATCCATCACACTCCCTAAGG